TGATCCTTTCCTCTGAGTCATTTGATTGTAAAAACGTGCCGTGAGAGAGGTGATCTACGGTAACCGAAACGTCAAGAAATATAATTCTCTACCGTCATCGCTGTTATTAACATCATAACATTGACAATGTTTATATCACGTTTCATAAAATAATTCATTCAATTTAAGCTTTAGGGTTTTCGTCTTATTCGTGAACACAGCAATGTTCATTGGGCAATCCTCACCAGTGACATTTTAGATTTTTGTTGTTTAAGATATAGTCCATTTCACAGGATTTGATTTTTTAGCGGTGTCAAAGTCATTCTCTTGGGAGGGGAGGTCAATCTACCGGAAAATGCTGTATTAGTTTATTTCAATCCGGTATCGTTTCATTCCTACAGCGGTTTGTTGTCTTAGTCAAGCAAGTGATCCCTTTGCAGTAGCACGTTAATGCCTGCTGACGTTTTGTGGGTTCTTCTCATGGACTCTTATCATCGACACATCAAAACCTTACCTGGAATGTCACAAACGGGACCACTCCAACAGGGATCACATTGGCAAGTCTTTTGTTCCACACATGTCCCGTATACGCAGCTGAAATTCAAGGGTATGGGGTTTGATGTAAACAAAAACGACTTTGTATTGTTTTTAACAATCCCACATTGTGACATTGTGAGACAATGTCAACTATTTCCTTAGCTTAAACACTAATTAGAGTATGATATGTATTTGTCAGAAAATCTATAACATATGATATAATATATGGTGATCACTACACGATTCCTAAATACTATATAAAGGTTATGCATTCACCAACGGTAATGGATACCTCCACTACATGGAACTACTAGAGGAACAACTAGAGGAACCTCTGATTTAGACCATATAATCACAAATCACGCTGACACATTTTCTACCAAATAGTTCTCCCCCTTAGGCACCAGTGATCACAACCGATCCTGGTCAGTCCCAATATTTACTCACATTTAGTGCAGTTTTCTTTTACTCGACCCAAACACATCATGTTCCGGCCAGCGACATCTTTCCCCAAACAAGATTTGCCTTGCTTAGAGAGTCTCTTAAAGTAGTTACCGATTGTTTTCCTTTAAACACAATCTACTTGTCCAATATGACATTGCTAACAGAAGTGTTAAACTGTGTTTTTGACATATGCTGTCCTGTGATAACTTTGTTCCTTCAACATGGCAAAATATCAATACCTTTTCTTAAACGTCTTTGCTGTGAAAAGGAACGTGCATTTAAACGTGACAGAAGGGCCGAAATGCAATAACTATCGGTTTTGATCAAGAGTAAAATAAGACTGTTGGACGCCGTTTATGCAAATCAGCTTTTTGGTACAAGGAAATGTAAATCTATGTGGCGTGGAATCCATCTACTCTGCAGGCAGAAGGAAGTGACTTCCAGTCCCTCGATTGATATTGAAAAATGAATGCAGCATTTGTTTATTCTTTGCCAGACACATACCTCAGTTATGTTGATTACAGTTCTCAGAAAATCCAACCTGTGTTTGATCCCATCACCTCTAGTGAGATGTATAAACGCATGTGTTCTCTCAAAGTATCGATTGCACCTGGTCCAAATAACTTAGGTCCTACCCTTCTTAAACATGATGCTCTATCACTGTCTTACATTTTTGCACACAACTAATCGTTCACTCGAACTCCGAACTACTCCTGATTGGTGGCACCCAGTGGGAATTACTCTACTCCCAAAGGAACTTCAAAGTCCCCAATAGCGAAGCGTTTCAGACTAATTGCTCTCACATCCACTAGTTTGATGGAGCGATCAGTTCTGCATCGAGTTCAATTATCCTTTACCATCCCCGATGAAACTTATCGGTTTGCATAACATCGTAACCGCTCCACATTGAATGCCGTTTCTTCTCTGATTTATTTGATCTGTATTCCTCTTATTAAGGAAGCCAAATAGGTGCAATCTGTATTTCTTGACTATTCTTCCGCTTTTGACTCGGTGCCCCGTTCTCTTTTGCCCAACTAGCTCCAATCGTTTAGCTGTTCCATCTCTCTTTTTGAATGACTCGGTGACTAATTCTCGCAAAGATAACAGTATGTTAAATTGCGAAGAAGACAGTCAACCGCATCACTCAATACCTCGGGTGTACCTCAATATGCTACCCTATCACCCTATCTTTTAGTGACTTATATCAGTGACTTACCAATTACTCCCGTGTTCGATATCTTAAGTATGCTGATGTAATCGCCCTTTGTGTTTCCGTATCTAACCGATCGGAATTGGTTGAACATAACACAAACCTATCCTACCGCGCTTCATATTCCACTTTATCCTGTCTTAATCTTAATCTCTAAAATGCCTCCAATGTATTTTTCCCTTAAACCGTTACCCATCTCCCTCGGACAAAATATAGATTCATGATATCCTACGAGCAGGGTCATTCATGTGAAGTACTTAGGTGTCACACTTGAAAGTAATCTTCACTGGTCCTTACATACCCAAACTGTTGCTCGCAAGTTGAAAGTTATCTCTTTTCGGATTAGAAGACTGCGCTACTCCTATTCTGATTCGTCTGGGCTAAACGCTTTCGCTCAACAATGTGTCTTCCATATACCCCTTTACTGCCACCCTGTAATTTTCCCTGGTTTGCTGAAGGCTGATTTCAAGTTGCTAAGACGTGGCCCCTCAATGATCAGCCGTGTCTCCGAGGTTCCGTAATCTGTTCTGATTGGCAATATGTGTAATGCCTATATTAATGAGTGTTTGAAGTTTGCTGACAATATCCTATCTGATTGCACCCATCCTTTACATAATGACCCGTGTGCATGCAAATCTCACCCCTCCCTCACTCGTTCTAGTTACAAACGTATCCCGTCTCGTAAGTCTGCATAGAGAAACTCTTTGATACCCTATCTTTTACGGATACGGACTGAATACGAAAGTGTTTGTTTTGAGCTTTCTAATGCACTTAGTAATTATCGCATATTATTATACATTTTGTCTCATTTTTTCATCTCTTTCTTGCCGGATTTATAGCGGTAGTCTATTTTGGCCGAAAGGTTGTATAGAAATCGCTACAGCTTCAATACAACACAATACTACGAAACAGTGATAGCTCATGCTCGTGGTTTCTTCCCTCTGACGCCCAGCACTTCACGGTGTATGTAATAGCAAAATAAGCAATGCTTTAAATCGAGACCAAAATAAAACAGAAGTTGTAAGATGTCCGCACTTATGCTACTGAAGCTATTGGTACAATAACCATTTTAGTTACAGGTTGCCTGTTTCCACACTTTCGTTCACTAGGATTCATAGACTCCATCTCTATAGCAGTATAAGCCTTTACCCTATTTTATTTCAGCCATTGGAGAAATTAGAAAAACAAATGCGAACACAACTTGTCACAGTTATCTTCTTGCTGTCTATTGATGCCATGAAGGGGACCCAATGTTTCAGAGTTAATTTCATAAGAAGTACAAAGGTGTTAAATCGTTTTCGGGAAGTATTGCATTTTTCATGAACACTTACTCAGAGCAATCCGTGAAAATTTGTCCGGTGTATACTTGACAAGCAAGATTATCTACGGTTGAGATTCATTTGATAAATGCACATCACAATATCACTTACAAATAACAAGCAGTTGCAGATATACGTGATCCATTATACAGCTGATAACCCCGGCCGGAAAAAAACGGTCTAACTGGTGAAACCTACCCTTTTATATGTCAATGAAGTAACCTCAGCAGGGGTGTGGATATCGGTTTCTTACCTGGAACGTAGTCATAGCAACAACCGTAAGCCTTTTAAAAACATGTTTCTCCATTACAAAAGAATCTCATATTTTGCACAATGATCTCGTTTATTGGATGCGCTCATCTGTCAATAAAATAGACACATGTTCAGATGGAAGTATCATTTCAGGACAGGAAAACAAAGAATCCACTAAACGCGGTCTGTTTTGTTGTACGAAAAGCGTTTCAGCAATGAATTGTTTGAATTACCTCGAAAGTCAAATACATATTTGAATTTGATGGATGTTAGGTATCCAACGCAAGCTTTATTCTACCATAAAATGTGAATCC